GGAGCTGGTGCTCATGCTGTAGTAGATGAACACCGCACGGATGAGGTCCGACTGCCGCTGCAGCTCCTCACGAACCTCACCCAGCTCCTCGTCCAGCCGCTGACCATCCTCCTTCACCTGGCGGACGAGATGAGAGGCCAGGGGTGGGGGTGGGGTAAGGGGTGGGGAGGAAGCACATGCAAGAGGAAACCAGGAATGAACTCCCGGAAGGCGTCCAGAATTCCAAACTGGCCATAGTGAGTCCTGAGCGATGAGGGGAAGGGGCAGGAAGGGGCGCAGGGGAACAGCGGCGGAAGAAAGGGGGAAGATATAATTGGATAAGGGCGGGGGGGGAAGAAGAACCACGAACGAGTGAAGCTGGGGGGGGACGCAGGCGGGAGAGAGAAGAGAACGCGAGCAGGAAGGGACATGTCTTCACCACATGTGTTTTGAAAACAATGTTTCCCTGTCGTACTAAAAACGGCATCCCCATGCCGCAATTCCCCTCGCTCCGCCAACCCACCACCCAGGCTCTGCAACGTCGTCTTGCCCCCCGACCCCCCTCCCCACACATACACGTTTTCACGCATATACGCACACATACATACATACATACATACATACATACACACATACATACATACACGCTCTCTCTCTCTTACCCCCAGGTCTGTCTTCAGGACCAGTCTCCTGAACCGGGTCTTAGACACCACCCGGCGCCAGTCGACGTTCAATTGCTGCAAACGAACCTGGGAAGAAGGGAGGAGGAGAGGGGGAAGAGGATGGAAGAGGAGAGGGGAAGAGGAGAGGGGGGAAGAGGGGGGGAGAGGGAGGAAGAGGGAATTACATGCAACAGTGAAAGAGGAGGCCGGACGGAACAGACCAACGACTTTACCAAAAACATAGTACCATACAAACGACCATGCCATACGACAGTGCCGTACCTTGTCCGTGTCGTACAACTCATGCGATTCGCACTCCTTTTTGCGCTGTGCAAACAGCGAGTCGTCCACATTCCACGACGACTCCTTAAAGCGGGTGGCGTCCTGCTGGCCCGGCAGGGGGAGGGGGAGGGCGCGCGCGTGAGAGGGTGGGCGGGCGCGGTGACGTGGCAGGAAAGAGGAGCGTGTGTGAATGAGTGTGTGTGTGTATATATAGAGGGCAGGGCAGAAGAGAGACCTGTGCGGGAGAGGAGGAAATCATCATGCAAACTCGCATAATGGTATATATGTATATATGTCGGCACTACGGCCGATCTCCGTGCAGGAAAAGGAGGAGGGCACAGGAGGTCAACAAGGGCACGAATGAAGAGCAGCGGGAGGAAAAAGTTGGCAACAGGGGGGAAAGAGAGGTGGGGAAAGAGAGATGGCGCGCACAAACACACACACACACATACAAACACATACAGACACAAACGCGCGGAAGCAAGGGGAAATGCGGGGAAACTCGGCTGCAGCCGCAGCCGCAGCCGCTGCTACTTCATGGCCGGTGCACAGCATGGCCAATATCCGGGGACACGGGATCGTGGGGGCACTATCACGCCGCTGACGTGTCGCAGCGCCGCCGTCTCACCAGCTCAACAAAGGTACGCTCCACCTTGGGTTTCACAATGACTGGCGGCAGGAAGAACGGCCGCTGGCTGGTTAGCTCCTGAGCACGAGCGGATGGGGGGGGTCGGGTCCGGGGTTTAGGCGGTACAAGGGTTTGGGCCATACGTGGAAAATGTGGAGGTGGAGAGACCCCACGAGGGTGGGTATCCAGGTGCTGTATGTGTGTATGTGTATATATGTATGTATGTGTGTGAGACAGGGAAAATGGTGCCGGGAAAAACAGGAGTGAGATGAGGTTCGTGAAGGCCGGGATGAGGCGCTCGTCTTCCTCTTCAACCTCTTCCTTCCTCCCCCCACCCCGCCTCAACCCCGAGCTGGTGTCACAGTTTACAGTTACCCGTCTAAATCCTCTCCCCCATCCTCCTACCCCACCAAACAGCTGTTACCGCTGTTGGCCCTGGCAGGGATAACAGGAATCGAATTTGAGAATTCATCCCCACCCTCTACCAACTCACTATCGCCCCAACAAGTAATTCTTTCCCTTACGCGGAACCCCAAAGTTTATTCATCCCCTAAAGGGGAGCTATACATAACACCCACCCCACCCCACGCCCTAGCCCACCCACCCACCCACCCACCCACTCGCTCACCCTCAACGCGCCCTCCAGTTGCCGCAGCGGGGCCTCCTGTGTGGTGGGCTCCTCCAGGAGCTTCCGGAACCTCAGCTGGGCCCTCTCAGACAAGGCGCGGTAGGCGGCCTCAGCCGCCTCGGCCGCCTCCTCGTGGTAGGCAGCGGGGTTGGCGGCCTGAAGCGCCTGGGGGTGGGTACGCGTGTGGCCGTGTATGTATGTGGGCATGTATGTATGTGATGTGTGAAACAGGGGGGTGTATCTTCGCCCGTGGCAGCTACCCGGCGAAACCCTGCCTTCCCCGGTATTATTTCGGGGCACCCTCATCCAGTCACCCTGGTCAACTTCTCAGTGGGGATCGCTCAGGTTCCGCACCCACCACCAGCATCCAACGGAATCTGCCGGGTCGACAGCGGTGCAAATCCGTTCCTGGTCGGCTCGCAGGTTAACTTTATCCCGGGTCACCACCATCCATCAACTAGGGGCGCAATGCCTTCCACCATTGGAAGGACTTTGACCCTAATGGGTATCGATGGGTATCGATCCCCCCGGGATCTCCCGGGGGCATGTATGTATGTGGGCATGTATGTATGTATATATGTATGTAAGTATGCAATACTTGAAGGAGACTGGGCCACTCGGAGAGGCATCGATATGAATACCCGCTCACAGCGAACCCTGATCACGCCCACCTGACCCACGGGTCTCTCACCCACGTGCCGTTCCTTCCTCCAGCAAGGAAAGGCATAACCTCGCCCATGCAGAAAATACGACACATACCTCAAAAAGTTTTTTCCGACGATCCCGCATTGCCGGGTCCCGTTCGTCCTGATCCCACGGAATTCGCGCGTCCGGAAGTACGGCAGATCCAAACCGCGCTGCCAGCGCCCGTACAGCCGCCTCTGCCGTCTCCGCCGCCGCCGGCCCCGCCGCCGTCACGTATATCCCGCCTGCCGTACCATTGCTGCCGTTGCTACTGCCAGACGTCGGACCCGCCACAAGCTCCCCTCCCGAATGCTGTGGACTGCTCAGTCCCGTCGGCGCGCTACCGCTGCCGCGGCTGGCGGCAGCGATGGCGGCAGCTGCCGACGCTGCTGCCGACGCCGACACCGCACTGACAGATGTCGACAAGATACGCACGCTGCTACTGCCGCTGCTGAACACGGGCCCGTGGCCGGCGTTTGGCGCAGCAGCTGTCGAATGCCGCGGCGACATCATCACTGCCGGCAAGAACGACCCGCTCCCGCTGCCGTCGCCGCCATGCTCGGCCCCCTGCTGCAGAACCGCGACGGATGTCAGCGACGGACGTCTGGGGGATGCCGTGCTCATATCGCCCATGCCACCGCCGCCATCGCCGCTCGCCAACGCAGCAGCGTCCAGGGATCCCCCCTCCGCCAGCGTAATACTCGGGCGCGTCGATCCGGCCGGCAGCTGCGGCAGGGACGCGCCGTGCTGGTGCTGGTGCGAGCCCGCATGGCCGCCCATGACCATGCCCAGAGCCCCCAAGAGCGACGAAGTGTCTCCCAGGGACTTGCGCAGCTGCTCCTGGCTCTGCTGTTGGCCCTGCTGATGCACGGAGCGGTTGCCCACCATACTGGCAAATCTCTTCACGGAGGGCTGGCCATGCGGATGGTGCTTACTGGAGTTGGCCGCCGCCACGGAGGCGGCCTGGGTCCGCTGCGCCAGCTGCTGCTGCCGCTGCCGTACCGCAGCTACGAGGCTAAACTCGTCCATGTCCTTCAGCTCCGTCACGGCTCGCATTGCGGCGGCAGTGACCGCCGGCGCGGCTGCCGGCGGCTGCTGATAAGGGTGGTGGTGATGATTGTGTTGATTGTGGGGATCTCCATCCGCGGACTCCCTTCCGGTTGTTGAGCTGATCGAAGCCCACAGAACGCCTGGGGATCCGGAACAGCCGGACGGGGGGTTGGAGGCGGGGAAGGTGGGCGATAGTGCTGGGGAGGGAAGAGGGATGGAGAAGAGGAGGAGTGCGCGGCACGCTTTCCTCAGGCCGGTTGCAGAGTGGAGACACACACACACACACACGCATACACACACAAGAGAGGGTGCCTTACCTCAAACCGTCCCCAACGGTGCCGACAACATGTGGGGAGTTCCTAGAGACTCTGGGAAACCAGCTGCAGTACACGATTCGTACACGATTCGTACACACTGGGCATGCATTGCCTGACTACCAAGGAACACATGAAGCTGGAAGTGTGCGGATGCGCTTTCGTGGAGAGATAGAGGGAGAGAGAGAGAGAGCGGGGGGAAGGGTGAAAGAGAGCGAACGAGAAGAGCCGCCGACATGGGCAAGTTTAAGGTGGGGACCCGCCCTTTCAGGACAGCTGCCCCTCACCTGCACGCTTCTGTTTGCCCTGTTCGGTTTCATGATTCTCCTCCTGATCTTGCTGCTGCTGTGGTGGTGGTGCTGGTGGCGACGGCAGCTGTTCTTGATGTTGACCTGCTGCTGTTGCCGCCGCAGCCGTCGGTCCCTCCGGCAGCTGCTGCTGTTCCACAGTGGAAGCAGCGTGCGGCGCCAGCGGCGGATCTCGGCTGCCTCCGCCGCCGCCGCTATTCCTCTGGGAAGTCCCCTCCCCATACCCGTGCGGGCCCACGGCTTGTGCCCCGCCGCCGCCGCCTCCGGTCTCCGTGCTGGGCACTGCAAAGCGCGTCACACGGTCAGCCCGTGAGACGGCCGGGGCGGCAGAGGGGTGCGTTGGCGGCAGCGTCTGCCGGTGGTCCAGCAATGCTGCAAGCAGCCCGCCACCGCCGCCACCGGCAGCTGAGCTGTCGTACCGTGGCGGCACCGGCGACGTGACTGGGGAGGAGCAGGCCGAGACTGCGAAGCGCTGCGCATCCGTGCGTCCCGGCACACCCAAGCCAGTCAGAGGAAACGGCAGCTGCGGCGACGAAGCCGTCAAGGCCGCGGATCCCATTACTGAAGCCGCGGGCACCCGGCGCGACGTCAGCGGCGGCGGCATGGATGACATTGACGACGACGCCGTAGTCGCGGCCGCCATGGTGGCGGCAAGCTGCGGCAGCGGCGCGGAATTTGTCGGCGCCACCGCCACCGGTGACGGGGCGTAGGATGACTGAACAGGGCGATCCTCTAGCAGCTCCCGAAGCTGCTGTTCTGCGGAGGTACAGGAGCTGATGGCTAGCTGCGCGAGCGAAGTGCCGCTAAGGAGGACTTGGCTGCCAGCGGCAGCCGGCGCCCCGGCAGCCAGTCCCGAGGAGATTCTGCTGGTAAGGGATCCCGGAGATTCCGCATAGGAGGCGGAAGGTAAGGACCCGCTTGAGGTTTGGCCCGGTAGTGAGCCGGGCCGGATGGGGCAGCTGGATGTGGTAGAAACCGGACTGTTGATGGTGGTGGCTAGGGTGGATGGGAAGGCGCGACCGGTGGTAGTGACACGGTAGGTGGTGCTGCCGTCGTTGTTGACTGAAGGAGAATTGACAAAGCTAATCGACGAGGGCGAGGGGAGGGCTGAGGCAGCTGAGCCGCCCGGTCGCGGCTCGCGGCCTGCATCTGGCCTGGCCACCCGGTGGGATCCGTTGAAGGGGGCGCTATATGCATCAGAGCCACTAGCTGCAGATGGTCTTGGCTCCCTTATGCGAGGGACACCGCTAAAGCTGCTGAAGGGGCGATTGGGGACAAGCGACAAGGCATCCAAAAAACGGATACGGTAGCAAGAGAGTTGTTAGCTAGTTTTAAGTGTTCATGTGGCATAGAAATATGTTCATTAGACTGGTTGCATTCCACAAAAGCAAAGATGACTTGGAAAGACGGGATAGACGATTCGATTGCCCACAAGATAGGGAGGCGAAGCGATTCCCGGCTCCGACTTGCAATTGACTGCAGCCGGAAAATCGTTGGAACGATTTGAGAACATGAGATGATACCGTGCTGCCATTGGGCTTCCTCGCTGACAGGGAAAAGGCGGGGTTTATGCGCGCCGGAAACGCAGTGCCTATATAGAACAGCGATTATGAACATGGCTTACCCAGTATCACTGAACCCATAGGCATAGCTCGCACGCCGTGCCGTCACGCTGTAAGATTGCTGGAGCCGTGGCGTTGATTCCGAGTCCTGCCCAGAACCTTCCAAAGGCTTGACGTTCAAGGGCAACAATAAAGGAATGCGGGTCATTCCCGTGGATGTCTTTCCGAAGGGCAAAGATACTCAAAGTTCAAGCCCCTATCGCGGCCTCTGAGGCCATTTATGCTGCGAAGAATTTTGCATAACAAACGTCCCCATTGTATGCGACATACGAGATAGAACACGCGGGTTAACTCATCCGAGCTGCACCTAGCGTCAACCAAGCTAGGACGACCCTTGACTTTCTGAGAAAATGAAAAAGGCCAGCCGTAAGCCTGTGGAGACAGTCCGTTTTTTAACTCTATGTTCAATATTCACTCATCAAAACACCCTTGTGCCATGTCAGTCATGTCGTTGATATCCCCCGAAAAGCGCGTGCTAATTCGCAATCTTGTGAAACTAAGTATAAGTAAGAGTATAAGAAAGACTAGAGGAACTCAATTCTTACCGATGGATTGTTAGACAGGGCTATGGTCCTGCGAATTCGACTAGAATACGAGCGACAGTACCTTACAGAACCTCGTCACTTTCTAGTCCTTGAAACTGCTGTACAGCTGTTTGATTTTGAAGTTGGTCACCATGTGCAACATGGGGACAAAAATTGAGGGGTTTCACGCTCCCATACGGTGGACCAGCTTACTCTTCGGATGTCGGATATTCGGATTGTCAGACAGCGTGCTCTCATCAGCTCTCTTGTCCTGAATTGGTTAAATTGGTAAAATTCATTTCATTTATGCCTTGCACCATTTTTCTGGCCTTTCTCCCAGGATAAACGGCTAAACAAAAACGACATGGACAAAGCTGCGGGCTCCACCTGAAACCTTATGGCTGCCTAAGCCATATTGGGTAGGAGCTTGAGGCCTTCAGCATCGCGTGGGATTGCGAGCCGGGAGCGGGCGGACTGCATCACGGAAGCCTACCCTCTCCGGAGCTGTAGGACACTGGAAAATGAACGGCTCCTGCCGTCGTCGCTTACTGGCTTCTTTGCCGCTTGACTGGACTCCTATATTAAATCAAAGCTACTCCCTAGCTCGATGACCCCCTAACCATACGTCGTGTGATCATCCTGCGAAGTTCACATGAGGGAAGAGACCCTATTGAGACCTTTGCCCAAGACCCCCACCACGCCAACGGGCACATATAATTTTCATTGCGGTATGTGGATGTCATCAGTATTATTATTATTATTATTATTATTATTATTATTATTATTATTATCATTATTATTATTATTATTATTATTATTATTATTATTATTATTATTATTATTATTATTATTGCAGCGGGTGAGGCTAGTACTTTGCTACGAACGGGAAATTAAATGTCTTTTCCTGTCAACACAGAGTCCGGACATAGTCGCAAATAGTACCACCATAAATATTACGGGAAATACTAATATGGGAGATACTTTATACAAATCCTACTTCCCCGTAAACCCCACCGAGGTGGTGGCAGTCGTGCGTAACTTTTGCATGTCACCTAATAGAATACCAGATCAATTTTCTAGCAATTTCGGTCAAGAAAATTGAAAATGATTTTAACGGTGTTTACCCTGACACGGTGCTAGACCACCGATGCTCGTCCACATCAGGTTGTCACTATGACCCGTACACGGGATTCTGTTGCAGGAGGGGTCGCACACACGTTTTCTCGTATGCTACTGAGTAAACCCCCTGTGTTCCTCTAGATGGGTATTGATTACATAACTGCGGACGTACACCTAGCCAGCGAACTACCTAGCTCCTGATCGGTTTGTGTGGGCGTTTGCAAGCTCCGAGAACCTCTCCTTTTGTTTCCAAATCAACCGGCTTAACCATTACTTGTATTTCACGTCTCAACAGCGCCGTGCCTTTTTGTGGTTTCCCGTCTCCCTAACAATCTGGTCATTGGTTGATGACGTCTGTTTTCACCTTGTTATATATGTGCTACCAAGACCACTGGTGGCCCGGATCTATGGCAATCTGTTTGGTTGGCAGTTTCTCGAGTTGATGCTGGGGGGATGCCGCATACCGGTGACCCGGTAGGGGACGTATGAGGCTCGGGGGTGTCCCCATGGGGTAGGGCCGATGAACAGTCCTGTACGGTGCCTGTACACTCACGTACTTACGGCAAAAATGACCGACCTGATATTGTTGGTTCCCCACGTACAGTAGATATACAACATCGCCCCTCCTCCCCTAACTCTTTAGTCTAGCACAGCCTGAGCGACGGAGGAGGACAACACCCCTCTGCTAACAGTGCTTGACTGCCCGCCAACTGCGCAGCCTGCACACGTTACTTCACCTGCACCACGCCTCCTGCCCCGCTTCCCCATGGGGTGGAGGGAAGAAGCACTGTGTGGCACCGAAGCCGCACCCAAGAACGGCGCTCAGAGGCAATTCTGTATATGAGCTGTTTACATTAAAAAAACGGCGGCGGCAGTACAGCCGCAATGATTCCTGCCTGCCTGTACATGGGATGGACGGAAAGACGTTAACGTTGTAACTCACATGACCCACATGACCCCTTGCCAAAACCCACTCGGCTGCGTGTTCCCAATCCCCCCCCCCCACACACACACAGCTGCCCCATTCAGAGACACTCACATACTGACCCCCAACACACGGCCTCCGCACACACACACATACACACGTCACCCCTCACACGCACACGTACACGTACGCGCACACACGGTGCTGTGAAGAGTATGTACGCATGAGTACGCGCCGTGGCCCCTCATCCGTTGCGCATGTCTTCACTGACCGGCCCCGCCCCGGGGCCCCCCTCCTGTCTTGTATCTGCCTACCCTGTCTTCTTTCTGTCTCCCCCCCCCCAACACAACAACAGAGGCGCACATTGCAAACAGATGACCCAAGGGAAAGTTCTTGCCGCAGAGCAAAAGCCATATCGCCGCAAACGACACCCAACCCCAAGCGCTGGTTCTCCCCGTGTCCCCCCGTCCCCGTGTCCCCACGCCCCCGCGAGGCTCTCCCCTGGCTCTCTTAAAAGCCCCTCCTGCCAAACACGACACGACGCGACACGACACGACAGGACCGGACTACTCCTGGCCAGGGCCCGGGGAAGGAGAGGCGGTAGAGGAGGTAGCTTGGAAACACCCTTGTTTTCAACACTGCTCTGCGACTTCTAGGCGATAGCGTGTCTCCTGATTACATACGAGTGTGTAAAAATATGGACGTGGGCGTAAGCGTTGCCGTGCGGTGCGTGCGTGCGTGTGTGTGTGTGTGTGTGTGTGTGTGTGTGTGTGTGTGCGCGACCCCTTCTTCCCCCCAACCCCACCATCAACATGCTGACGTGTCAACAACACACGCATAGAACGTTCTCCACGTCACCCAGCCCTCCTCCGTCTGCAACATGTCGTACATTGTACTACACGCTACACTACGCTATGCAACAAACACAACACAACCCCCGTCCCTGCCGCGAGAGAGCGGACCCACAAGCTGTATACCCCAGGAGTATACGCCCTAACACAGAACCGAATTCAGGAAAGCAAATCCAGTATCCACCCCCCATCACGCTCCGCCCCAAAAAACGTTGTATGTAATGTGTACGAACTCCCTAAGACGCTCGGAAAAAAGTAGAATCGAATCGCAGAATGCCTGAAAAGGCTGTACATATATATAATTGCAAGGAAAGGAAAAGATGCTGTACCTTTTGGAATACTAGCAATTTTCTGCTGCTGCAGGCAACAACAACACAAGCGCTGTGTGAACAACCACCACACGTAATCACCATCATCACCATCATCATTATCATGAACCACGCTCGATGTAGATGTGACCTTGCTTCCCACTATTTTGACGAAACCCAAAACCAGGGTGTATCAACAAGCCGCTTGGGCATCAACAAAAGGCAAAGAAGATTGGAAAGCAAACTATTACCGAAAAAGAGATGCAGGCCGCAGAAGAGGTAAGAGATGCAGGCGACAATATGGCTGCGACGACAATGACTCTTTAAACAAGTCTTGAAGAACTAGTCTAGTAGGAGCAAGAGCGCCATCACACGTAACCGTATCAGTATTAGTAGTATTAATATTTGTATTACCAAAATGCCCAAGGGCCAGCAGCAAAAACCAAACCTGCGCCAGCTGCGAGGTGTATCTTCGCAGGAAAACGGAGAACACCCACTTCGACCTCTGATACCCCTTGTTGCACCACACGTCACACGCCCTGGGCCCCGATTACATATATATGCATACATACATACATTCATACATACATACATACATGCACAAAACAAGAGCGCACACATCGCCATCGCTCTCACCCACACAATACGCACATACGCATGTGTGCTGACGACGAGCACGACGAATCGGGGACACGGGGGGAGGGGTCTAAACATTTCCCACATTTCCTTAAAGCGCGGGCTATACTCCTGAAAGAAGATTTGTACGACGTGTAATTGACACGCACGATACGAAACGTGTGCGACACATGCACCGGACGCCCAGAGAGAGAGTGTGTGTGTGTGTGAGTCTCTCATGTCACATGGACCTTCACTGCACCACTTCCTAGCGGACTGCGATCCAACCCCA